ATTAAGCCAACTTTAGTACCCACAGATTTATAGTTGGATTTACAAGGATATTAAATTTTGAAAAATGAAAATAATTGGAATAGTATATATTTTTATATATAAAGTAATCAGACGATTGATAATGTATGTAACCAGGCCATTATTCAAAGAATATGGTTCAAATTTTATTTTTAATCCATATGATGAATTTTCATATAATACTATAAGTGTTGGAGATGATGTATTTATTGGTAGTGGCGCTAAATTTGCAGCGTCCGAAACTTTTATTTCTATTGGCTCAAAAGTAATGTTCGGTCCTAATGTTACCATTATGGGCGGAAATCATAATACTAGTGTAATTGGAGCATTTATGTATGATGTGAGAGAAAAATTGCCAGAGAATGATCAACCGGTTATTATAGAAGATGATGTATGGGTAGGTACAGGTGTGATAATTCTTAAAGGTGTAACTATTGGAAAAGGAAGTATAATAGCTGCTGGATCCGTTGTAACAAAATCATGTAAACCATATTCAATTTTAGGAGGTATACCTGCTAAATTACTAAAAAGTAGATTTACAGAAGAGGAAATTAACCGCCACGAACAAATGATAAATAAATTTTAGTGACTTATGTGTGGTATTACAGGATATTTCAAATCTGAAGAAAGACTTTTGTCAAAAGATAGCCTGATAGAAGCAACAAATTCAATAAGGCATAGGGGACCTGATGATGCTGGCTATTACGAAGATGAAAACGTCGGTTTAGGGCATCGACGGTTGAGTATTATTGATTTATCTTCTGCAGGACACCAACCTATGACATCCGCTAATGGAAGATATATCATAGCTTATAATGGCGAAATTTACAATTATTTACAATTAAAACAAGAATTACAATCTAATGGATTTCAGTTTAGAAGTCAGTCTGATACTGAAGTTGTTGTAAATGGATTTGAATATTGGGGAAGTGCAATTTTTGAGAAATTAAATGGAATTTTTGCGATTTCGATTTGGGATCAAGCTGAAAAGAAATTAATCCTTGCTAGGGATAGGATGGGTGTAAAACCTTTATATTATTGGCATGAAAATGATTTGTTATTATTTGGATCAGAAATTAAGACTATTTTATCTTATGACATTGTAAAAAGAAAAATTAATTTACAGTCTTTTCATGAATTTTTATATTATGGGTATGCTTTAGGAGAAAATACGATGTTTTCGGGAATTAAAAAGATTTTGCCTGGACAATACTTAGAAATATCGAAGGATAAAGTAATGACAAAAAAATTCTGGAGCATTAATAATATAAATACAATATCCCAAAATAGCATAAAAGAATCAACGGCCATTTCTCAAACCAAATCTCTTTTGGAAAGTGCAGTTTCGAGACAACTAGTTAGTGATGTTCCTGTGGGGGTTTTTCTTAGTGGTGGTATTGATTCATCTGCCATTACTGCATTTGCATCAAAACACTATGCTGGAAAATTAAAATCATATTCTGCGGGATTTGATTTTGACGGAGGGCACAATGAATTGCCACTAGCTTCAAAAATTGCTAAAAAATTCGGAACGCAGCATCATGAGTTAATGGTACAAGGAAAAGATATTACGGATATCATAAAAAAAATGATCTATCATCATGATGAGCCATTTAGTGATGCAGCTAATATTCCATTGTATTTAATGACACAACATGTTAAAAATGATTGTAAAGTGGTTTTGCAAGGAGATGGTGGTGATGAGCTATTTGCAGGATATCCTAGATACCATATTATGTCAAAATACAACCAATATAAATTTATTTTTACAACCTTAAACGCTGTGAAAAGTCTTATTCCGTCAAAATATGTTAGAAATAAAACTGAGCGTTTTTATCCATTATTTAAAAATGATCAATCAAAAATTCGTTTTGCAAAGTTTTTAACTGAGGAAAGGGAAGGGATACCTGAGCAGATTTTTACAGAAAATATTCAGAAAAACTTTCTACAAACAAATCCATTTAAAAGATATGAAGAAGTTTCAAAGGAGTTAGATTTTTTATCTGATAATGTACAGAAACTATTGTGGTTAGATACTAAGATAATTTTACCAGATCAATTTTTGGAAAAAGTAGATAAAAGTACTATGGCAAATGGTGTAGAGGTTAGGGTCCCTTTTTTGGATAATGATTTAGCTTCATTTGCTTTAGCTTTACCTTCAGAGTTGAAAGTTAAAAATGGTGTAAAGAAGTACTTATTAAAAAAAGCTTTGGATGGCATTCTGCCTAATGAGGTGCTATATGGTCCCAAAAAAGGCTTTGGTGTTCCTTATCAAAATTGGTTAAAAGGACCTTTGAAATCTTTTATGGAAGAAATATTTAATGATCCAAAAATAGTTCAAATGAATATTTTTGATTACAAAGTATTGAACATTAGGGTAGAAGAACATTGTTCAGGAAAAAGAGATTGGGGTTTTTTACTTTGGAAAATGATTAATTTATGTTTATGGTTAGAAATGTATCAATTAGAGAGTTTTGAATAAGAAAAGAGTACTCTTCGTTGGAGCGTTTAAGAAAAGTGTTGCAGGTGGTGCAACAGGCGGAGTACAAAGTGCATGTAATTCCTTAGTAGAGTCAGAATTGTTGAATTTTTACGAGTTTGAACTAATTGATACTTCAAATAATACCGTACCGCCACCAAAGACATATCAAAAAATTCATCATATTATTTTAAGAAACATAAAGTCAATTTACTTTTTGTTTTTTGGCAGAGTTAGTACTTTGATTTGTTTTTCTTCATCAGGGAAAAGTCTTATGGAGAAAGGTTTTTTGATTTTTATTGCAAAACTTTTAGGAAAAAAGACAATAATATCCATACGTTCAGGAGATATAGAGCAACAATATAATTCAAGCAATTCTATGAAAAGAATACTTTCGAGTGTATTAAAGTATTCGGATGTTATTATTGGACAAAGTGATTATTGGTCAAGATTTTATTCAACTGTAAATACAAATAATAGAAACAAAATAGTAACTATTTACAATTGGTTAAACATCAATGAAGAGCAGATAATAAAAGATAAGAACAAAGAATTTGTCGAAATACTATTTTTAGGCTGGATAGAAAAGACCAAAGGCATCTACGATTTAATTGATGCAGTTGAAATTATTGTTAAGAATAATAAGGATTTTAAGTTCAAAGTAAATGTATGTGGTGGTGGGGCAGCAAAGGATGATGTGATTAAAATAATTAAATCTAAGGGTATTTTTGAATATTTTGTGTTTCATGGTTGGGTTAATGGAGTAGCAAAGGAAAAGATTTTAAAGAGTTCAGATATTTTTGTGATGCCAACATACT